CCACGCGCTCGAATTGGGCGGTAGGCCGGCCTAAGACAACGATTTTTAATAATTAATTACTCGTTAACTATTAAGAAAATTGCAAAATGGTACAGGACTTTTTCGTTCATCTCGATCCGTTCTACCTTCTCAAAAATTTTGTCGGATATGGAAAGACTCACCCTGTATATTACATACGTGTGCTTGCATCGGTAGAGAAGCTTTCTGCATCAATTCTCACCAATGATACCTAATTCTTTCTGATTGTAAAGTACACATTCCTGAAGCGTTGTTGAATCAATCATTTGTAACTTGAAACATTTTAGAAAAATTATTTTTATCTTATTTCTGTCCAATTATAAGACTGTCTTTAATCATTCACTACTTTGGCTTATTTTATTATCGGCCCTTAATGACCGTTGAGTGTAAGAAAATATTCGAGGGGGATACCGCTGACCAAAATCTTGTGGACACCAATGCCCGCTAATTCCCAGTGGTCGTTACTTTATGTTCTTATCTTGCTTTATCTTGTTTACCTTGTTTTATCTTATTTTATTTTGTCTTATTTTATCTTTATAATTCCCCCCCCCCCCCTACGAAGCCTTAATGCCCAATCTATTGCCCAAAAATGCCTAGTTATGCCCAGTAATGCCGGGAATCCGTACACCACAATGCCCTTAGCGGTATCCCCTCGAAAATTCTCAAAACTATAATTGATTGCAAATGGCACGCGCAGACGATCCGCAACCGCGAGCTATCTGAGCGCGCCATTACTTCAAAATAGATTGCTCTTCAAGAACTTCATTTGCTCTCAGTTCGATCTCTTTCCATGAATACTGTATATCCTTCATCACGCTGAATCGAGAACAGACGGCGAATCGCAAGAAGTACGTGTACTTCACTTTCGCTGGAATAAGATAGATGTTTCCTGCACCATTGATTTTCTTTATAAATGCTTTATTGAGTTCGTTGGATCCCTGTAAAATATTATGGAATTAGTCGTTTTATTTTCTTCCTTTTTTACAAAAATATATCAACAAATCAATTATTATTTCCAAATAGATTTGTCCATTTATTTGAAAGAGTCCAGTTTTTATTTAAAATTAAACATTATAATTATATTTTCTAAATAAATGTAATATTGCACATACATCCATATAGGAGTTGTCAAATAAGAATTTTTTGCAAATATAATTGTGAAAACATTGACGTGACGTATAGAATAATCGGGTATATGTTCAGAACGGGAGAAAACTTTTATTGTACGCGTCACATTAAGTTAGCATGTTTCTGTTACAAGAGAGTTGATATTACTAAACTAAAATAAGACGCCGCCGGGTTCCGCATCTGCCGCACTACTAGATTATCGATACTACCGATTTCTGACAATCGACTTACCTTCAATCGGAAACAAACCAATCCCATGACAACTTCGCCTATGATTTCGAATCGAGGATCGGAAAGAACTAATGCTTCGAACTCGTGTGCTTGAGCGACGTGCGATCTAATGTACTTTTGAAGATTCCCGACCCCGTAAAGCCTCAATACGAACCAAAGTTTCAGAGATCTGAATCTACGCCCAAGTGGAATCTGCCAATGCTTTAACAAAATACGCCCAATCAGAAAGTTTAACGGCAGTATTTATCAAGTGTTTCCTAAATTCATTTTATTGATTAGACAATGCTAATTGGACTGTATTAACTATAATTACCCTGTAATCTGTCACCAAGCCCTGCATCTCGTGCTTCAGAAACTCAGGATCAACATTGAATGCGTTTTGGAAATATGTCGGATCCTGAAGCCACAGGACGGAGCAGTCATAATTAGTTAACATCCATTTATGAGGGCTAAAATTGAAAGAATCCACCATTTCGATGCCTTTCATTAAATATCTGAATTCCGGACAAATAAAAGCAGATCCTGAAATCAATTGGATTTGTTTTAGCTGTATTTGATAAATTGAGCAAATCGTAATTACATCTATCGTAGAATAAGAAACTTAATCTATACCTGCATAGGCAGCATCCACATGCAACCACATGTCTTCACGTTTCGCTACTATGCCAATTTCATCGAGAGGATCAAAGGCGCAACTACCAGTGGTACCCAAAGCAGCGACAGCCTATAATAAGAAATCACCTTGTAATTTTTAAATTAAATGAATTTTTGAAGGATATTAATTAATTCTAAGTTTTTATTGTTGCGTAATCTTTACGTTAATTATTTATGGTGAAGAATTAATAAGCGCGATACCGTATTTCTGCTATCTTGTAACAGATATATTGTGACATTAAATATCTAAAAATACTATGTATTTTCAAGAAGTTGTATTTCCGAAAATTTTCTGGAAATTTTATTATTTTTACATTAATATTATATATTATCATACATTAATATTATACATATAATATATTATTTGCAAATAGGTAACGTGATCTTTCAGATTATTAGACGAATGAATTTAGAAATAATAATTAATTGAATATTGAAAAATATAGAGTATATTTTTATAGAAACGTAAAAAAATAGCACAACTAATTTCATAATATTTTCAGAGATTCAACGAACGGTATAATTAATTCTCTCCGATTCTAGTGATCTTTTCAAGGAATAAAAGTTCGAAGAACTATAGTGTTTAATCGATAAAAACATATCGGATAAACTAGACGTACGTAAAACGGTATGAGTCCTTCTTCTTTATCCTTTCTTATTGCTTCGGCTAATGTATCGCCGCGCAGCTTGTATTTTTCATCGACCTCTAACTGTCTTAATTTTATTCCTGCGATAAGTCCAGCGCGTTCAACCGAAGAATGTGCTTGGCCTTAAAAAATACCGTATTTTGTCGCGTCATTTTATTGTGATTCATTCATTATAAAGGGTGTTTCAATAAGAAGGAATGATGTTAAACGTGAATTAAAAATCGGTGGTGTACAAAAATGAAAATTTCTTTAATAGACCATGTTTGGTAGGCCATTACAATTAAGTATGGAAGATAATGTCCGCCAAATGTTCGCCACGGCTCCGGCGGCACACGTCAATCCGCTTATCGAAATTTGCTATCACATCTCGACACAACTGCTCCTGAATCTCTTCAATGTGGCGTGAAATTTCGTCTTTGAGTTGCTGGATGGTGGTAGGCTTGTTGGCATAGACTTTACTCTTCAATTTGGGGCCATTTGAAGAGTAAAGTCTATGCCAACAAGCCTACCACCATCCAGCAACTC